CGGCGGCTTCCCCGGCGCGGAGAGCGCGCCCGCGCTGCAGGGCAGCGCCTCGCAGTGCTTCTTCGACACCAAGCTCCTGGACAGCAAGCAGGACATCAAGCTGCCCTCGCTTGCCCCGGCCCTGGACAAGTTCAAGGCGCCCTGCTCACAGTGGGAGCCCATCACCCAGCATCAGGCCTTCGCGCCCGCCGGCTACCAGCCCGCCGAGGCCTTTCCCGCTGCGGACGCTGGCCAGGCTCTGTTCCACGCCCTGGGCTCCAAGATGGAAAACGTGCTCTCCGTGAGCTGCCAGTCGCAGCTCGGCAGCCTCGCGGAGGATCCCGGCTGCTTTGGCAGCACTTTGGGCTTTGCTTGCGAGCCGGAAAATTTCCAGGCCCGCGGTGACTTTGGCGATGCCAAAATCCACAGCCTCCCCACGCAGCTCATCCCGGAGTTCGACTCCTCCTTGGCGCAGCCGGACGTCCTGCCGGGTTTGCTGAGCTCCAACGAGCTGCTCCATCCTCAGCCGTCCCCCTCCGTCCCCGCCACGGACTTTTTGGGCCACCCGGCGCCGTCCTCCGTCGCCTCCCTGCTCCCCGCCACCCCGGCAGCCCTGGGCGAGCCCAAGAAGAAGACGCGCAGGACCAAGTGCTCGTCCAAATGCTTCTGCCCCAAGCCCCACGAGAAGGCCTTCGCCTGCCCCGTGGAGAGCTGCATCCGCAGCTTCGCCCGCTCCGACGAGCTCAACAGGCACCTGCGCATCCACACGGGCCACAAGCCCTTCCAGTGCCGCATCTGCMTGCGCAACTTCAGCCGCAGCGACCACCTCACCACGCACATCCGCACGCACACGGGCGAGAAGCCCTTCTCGTGCGACGTGTGCGGGCGCCGCTTCGCCCGCAGCGACGAGAAGAAGCGGCACAGCAAGGTGCACATGAAGCAGAAAGCGCGTGCCGAGGAGAAGCTCAAGGGCCTCGGCTTCTTCTCGGTGGGGCTCTCCTTCGGGGCGCTGTGAGGCCCGGGCCGAGGCGACGGAAGGTGACGTTTCCCGAGGCGGGTCCCCGTTGCGGAGGAGCTGGGGGTGCCAATAGCCCCCATGCTTGGCAGGGTGGCCCCGCGCAAGAAGGTGCCAAAGAGCAGCGGGTCTCACGTTGCGCTGGTGGCAGGCGCTGGTGACAAGGAGAAGGGGACAACCCCGCGCCCGCTGGATGGCCGGGCCAGCCCGGAGCGTCTCCACGCTGCAGGGACTGAGCCGTTTTGGTAGCTCCGCTCTGGGGAGAAGGCAAAGGAAAACCGAGGAGAAAAAGCAGGGAAAGAAACCGGCACCGGCCTTTACGCACCGAGGCGCCGRCCGGGGCGGTGGCGCCGGCCGCGTTTGCAGGAAGGGGACTCGGTGCCAGCGCCGCGCGGGGGCTTGCGGAGCCGTCCCCGCTCACAGATGGTGCCGAGCCCGCGCGGAGCAGGGGCACACGGGCAGGCTGCCGTGACGCACCGCGGGCAGCGCTCCTCCTCGGAAAGGAGATGGCACGAGATGGCACGCTCCGTTTTTCTTTCTTTCTTTTCTTTTTTTTTTTTTTTTTTTTTTTTTTGGTCTCGTTTGTAAAAAGACTCTATCAGGAATATCAGAGATTTGTGTCTATTTTTGTAATTAAAGCTTTGTTGCTACCTGAACGCGTGCTGCGCTTGCTTCTTTTGAAACCCAGCTGCTCTCACGGGTGGTGATGTCCCTGCAGGGTGTCCTCCCCCAACCTCCTCTGCTCCGACTGCCACGTGGGGCTGGGGGGCTCTGGTTTCCTCCTTCCCTGGCTCCGTTTCCCTTGCTCGAGGTGACCTGGGGCTGCTGCAAGCTGGGGACACCGGTGCTCCTGCGCTGGCTGCAGCCCAATGCCCCACCAGGCTGCTCAGGTGAGGTATATGTGCCCCGGGTGAAGTATATGTGCCCCGGGTGAGGTATATGTGCCCTGCGTGATAAACACACAGCTCAGGTGAGATGCACTGGGCCTGGGCGAGATGCACGCACCCTGTGCAGGATGYCCGTGCTGTGCCCGAGATGCACGTGCCCCAGGCAGGATGCCCGTGCCCCAGGTGAGARGCATGTGCCCCAGGTGAGATGCAGGTGCCCCGGTTGAGATGCAGGTGCCCCAGGTGAGATGCACTTGTCCTGGGCAAGATGCACRTGTCCCAGGTGAGCTACACATGCCCTGGGCTAGGTGCGTATGCCCTGGCATCTTCCAGGCTGGTTAACACCCAGCACTCGCTCCCGCTCCACGTGGGCTGCCTGTTTTCCCTCCATGACGGACAAACGCTGCGTTCGGCAGTTCCCGAATCTGCCGGAGTGCAGCCCTGCTGGAGCAGAGCTTCAGCGTGGGGAAAAGCAAATGGGGGGATGTCTAGGTTGGAACACCTTGGGCACGATATCCAACACTGYCCTTCATCTGGGTGCTACAGCGGGGAGCATTTGGGGCAGACACCCCGCTCACGAGCAGCTTGACCATCCCATGAGCTTCCCAATCACTTCCCGGCTCTCAGCAGAGTCCACGACCCCGTCTCGCTGCTGACTTGTGCGGTGGCACCTCGGGGTGCTAAGGCACCCGTGTCCCAAGCGCCAGCCATTCTCAGCACAGTGGGGKAACATCCCATGGAGGGACATCTCGCACCTTGCAGGAGGCTCCATCCCGTGTTTTGCAGGCAAGAGGCACCCTCCAGCCCCTCTCCTCCTGCTTCATCCTCATTAGACTGGCAGGTTGCAATGGAAAAGCGATGCCGGGCCTGAAAGGGCTGCAAGGACTCCGGGACTCGGCRGACAGATGTCGGCGTTGATGCCCATGGCAGCAGCCGGAGGTCCTTCATGGGGCCTGAACTGTGGGGAATACCAAAAGCAGGTGGAAAATACATATATATATATATTCTATATATGTAGAAATATAGAAACATGTATATATATWTTTTTTTTCAGTGGTAATACTGAAAGCCGTTTCCACATTCACAGGCCCCCGCAGGCTGAAAAGAGGTGCCCCGCTGCAGCGCCAGGAGTGGCCCAGGGCTCTCCCTGCGGCTCCGGATGGCACCCAGGGGTGCAGGGACAGGGAGCCGGGGCCGCGGTGCGGGTGCCCGGCCGCGCTCCCCGGGCCCCTCGTGCTGCGGGAGGCAGAGGGAGCTGCAGGGAGGGAAGCGGCAGCGCTCGCGGCTCCGGCTGCGGCGGCGGAGGCGGCGGCTGCGGCGCTCGCCCTCCCTCCTCCCTCCTTCCTCCCTCCTTCCCTCCCTCCACCCCTCCTTCCCTCCCTCCATCCATCATCCCTCCCTGCTGCCATCGCCTTCGCGGCCCCCCCCTTCCCCAGACCGCGCAGCGCCCCGGCGGCCACCCCATCCCCGCGGGTGGGGGGGGCCCAACCCGCCTTCCTCCTCCTCCTCCTCCTCCTCCTCTTCCTCCTCCTCCTCCCGCCCGCCGGGGCCTGGGCACGGAGGTGCCGGCGGCGCCGAGCGGAGCCGCCTCCTTTGTGCGCCGGGCTCCGTCCCCGCTCCGTCCCCGCTCCGTCCCCGCTCCGTCCCCGCCGCTCCGGGGCAGCGATGCCGCCCCGGCCCCGCCGCGCCGCAGGTAGGGACCGCGCCGGGGGCACCGGGCGGAATTGGGGCAGGGGAGGGTGCCCCGTGTCCCCCCCGCACCCCCCGAGCCCATCCCCATCCCGGGCGCAGGCGGGATGCGGCGCCGGGATGAGCTCCCGTCCCCCGCTCCCCGCCGCTGCCGCTGGGGATTTAACCCGGGAGGGGGAGGGGGGGCTTAAAAAAAATGGAAATAATAATAATAAAAAATCCCCATGATCGCTGCGAAAGAAGGAAGGCTCCATGATGGAGCGCAGGTAGCGGCAGCCAGGCGGCCCCGGCTGTGGCAGCGGCGCCCGCGGGGGCCGTGGGTGCCCCGGTGTCGTGCCCACCCTGCGCATATTGCCCTTAGCTCGCCTCCCATCCCTCGGGGTTGGCCCCTCTGCCCAGACCCCGGGGCCGAGCCCAGGACCGGGGCCGGCGCCGGCGCTGCCG